AAAAAGGAAAAAAGAACAAATTTTTTCAAAACTTCAATGCCTCAATTGGGAAATTTGGATATGCCTTTCTCATTCATTATGTCTTGGCATAATTGAGTTCATATAAAAGTTTTGAAAAAGCTTGTGAACAAGAAATATCTACTGATGGTATGTTGATGGAATGCAATATAATCCTTTGGTGCAGCTCCCAATAAACTTATAGCACCTGGGGAAGCAGGATTTTCCCCAATACCAGCAGCTCCCAGGTTCCTAGCTATCAGCCAATTGGCAATATCTCCAAAATGGCTCCCTTGCTACATGCAATTCCCACCCAATACCCCACTCCCAAGTTGCTAGCTATCAGCCACTTGGCGCTAGCTCCCAAATGGCTCCCATGCCACATGGGATTGCCCCCAATACTGGCAGCTCCCAAGTTGCTAGCTAACAGCCACTTGGTAATAGCTCCCAAACAGCTCCCACACACACCAGTTGAAATCAACCACCTAAAACACTGGTTGAAATACAGATGGGCGCATTTCCATGATTTGCAGAGTTGAGTATATCAACTGGTTGATAGATGCTTCATATTTACCTTAATCCTAACTCCTTTGCTATGGGAGTTGGATATTTTTTCAGGGAGCTGCCTCAACACTTGAGAATGACTACATGTGCACCTAGCTATTGGCAGCTCCCCAGCTTCCAACTCCCAAATTATTTGCTAGGTACTTCTTATGTGGAAAACACAGAAAATATCCTGTGCATAGTATTGGCAAAAAACTTGAATAATAAAATCAGCACCCTTTTATATTAATTTTGGGAAAATACAGCAGCAGTGCCTTCCTGTAATGCTTATTTTGGCACTGTGGAATGGGTGCTGTTTTTCACATACAAAAATTTGTGAAATTTGCATTTACCATAACTCTGAAGAACTGGATTACTACAAGTTAGTGATGGATGGATTCAGGGGAGCTGTCATGCTTCATAAAATTTAAAACCTGTGGCTCTCTCTGGCCTCTGAGCTTCAGGAGTCTAACCACATGTGAGGGCCTCCCAGAGAAAGACCGGATGGGAGGGACCGCATGTCACCCTCTCATTCCATTAGACTCTCCCTTCCTCATGCTTCAGCACTTCCCTCCATGGAACTTTGTCCCCTCCCCCCTTATTCTCTGTCCTTCAGCTTCGGCTCTTCGCCCATGCACTTTCTGAGGCGCGCAGGCGGCCATTTCAACCATCAGCTCGCTCTATATCAGTCCTACGCTACTATTTTACCACGTTTTTTTCGTGATGTGGATGTTGGGGAATTGGTGGTGTTGTGTACTGTGTCTGGATTTTCGTGATTGAATATTGTAATGATGTGAAATTTGAAAGAGGAATGAGTGGTAAATGCCCTCCCTGTATCCTTTAGCTGACCTTGGTGCGAAATGTGTTCCGTTAATTCTTGGGGTGTGAGATGTGGAACGATTCGAGGGAATTTTTCCATTAATATTTTCGTAAGACAAAAACGTAACATTGTCTTCTTGGTGGGGTACATGATATTGAGAGCAATTTGGTGCATGATGCCTCTTAAATATTTTCCTCTTACGAAAATTGTGAGGACTACAAGAAAACATGCTTTCAAGTATTAGCTTGAATCGTGCAAATGCATTCAAGAAAAATCTAGTGCCTGATGGAAACAAATGACTTATCATGATGAGCTGTTTTACACTTTATGCTGATGTATCCACGTATTTTTGCAATACGTTAGGAACCCCGCCATGGAACCACTTATGACGCTGGAATTAATAAGGAATCACTTATACTGCAGTAAAATTGCATCGTTGTTGGTAGGAACGGACGAAACGAAACAATGCTGGATTCTTTAAAATCGAAAAAGGGTCTGTGCGAAAGTGTTGCAAAAATTTGGCGCAGTGTTCCAGGAGAATTCAAGGATAATATATTTTCATCTGGGCGAAGCGCGTATGTTGCCGAGTGCGTTATTCTATTTTATTTGCGAAAGGATGATCTCACTCCGTTGTAACTGGGTGGCTTCCATTTGAACGAAGAGTAGGTTTTTTGTCAATGGATTCAGTCAATATATCGTCGACCGGATAGCGCATGCGCTGTGCATCTAATCAATTACAGTATTCTCCGACAAGTTACGGAAACTACAGACAGTTACCTCGTTTGAAATATTCTCTTTTTTTTTTTTTTTTAGTTTGGTATGGCTTGCATGTGCTCTGTGAATGTTCAATACATTACCACCAAATTTCTTTCACCGAAAGCTCAGTGTGTATATCGTCAACTACAGTATCCTCTTCTGAGACAGCGCTCTCATTTTTATTCTGTTCAGTGTGCAATGGGAGAATGCTTTTCAGAACACTCATTGTGCACAAATGAAGATGGTTTTTTCGAATGTACAGTATGACACTGCTTAAATAGACTTGTGATTGATTAGAATCAGGCCAGGTCGGAAAGACACTAACGATTGCAGGAAGTGCAATGGGTTAAGGTGCTCAGCATAATCGCTAGTTTCGTTAGGGACATCTCCATGAAAAAGGTTACCTAACACGAATCAAGTTAATCTAGGTGTTTTTGCCAACCTCAAAGCTTATCTTTGATTGCTTCCACGTGCTCTGTATGATGTCTACCCCCATGGAACCTCACAGGAGTAGTTGTTACAAAATTCGAAGGTAATTCCTGAGAACGTTGGATTGTTCTTTTAATGGAAGAATTTAATGAACTTTTGCTTCAAACTCATATCTGTCTTTTGAAAGAAGTCAATTTATCAAGCTCTGCTTGTCTGATTGAAATTAAGCTCTCAAAGGAAGCAATAGTATTAAATTTGTTCTGCCACCCATTCAGGAAAAGTTTTGGTATCCACCAAATTCTGTCCTTGGTTTTAGTGTGCAAATTGGGTTTCACCTCAATTCATGCAAGGACAGGGATTCTGTGAAAGACCTATGGTCATAGGAACTGTAACCAAAGAGGGGGAAGAAAACTGTTGTTACAGGAAACCTTGGATCCTGTTGAATATTCCACTGTCCTGAACAGAAACAGTTTCTTAAACCCTTCTGTCTTTAACAAAAAAAGACACTTCTCTCTGAATCTGTGGACTGACAAGAACTCTTGACAAACTTGGAAATAAGTGAACCATGTATTGTTGATTGTGTGCAAATTAAACGAACTTAAAATGACTAGACAAGAGGAAGCAGAGACACAAAAAAAAACATCCTTACTAGAAGCTTAAGCAGGATTGAAGACTTCGTTCTAAGAACTCCTGTGATGTTCTGTGGAATTCCAAGACAATCCTCAACCTCAACACCCTGGCAATCTATACTAATCAATTCAAGAGGTTTTCTGAACCCATACTGATCCTAATCTTCTGGGCTATCAGGAAAGGATTTGTAGCCTATAGAGAACCAAACAACAAACAAAAATGTCACCTCTTTGAAGGTGTACTAAACAGCATAGTTGAATTCTTGACCCTGTACAACTTTCTTGAATTGAACTTTTTACAAAAAGAATAGTTTGAGCAACTCACTCAATTAGGAAGGTAACTTGGAGCCCTGGCTGTTCAAGATGCCAACGGCGCAGCAAAAAAAAAAGGATTGCTCTACTCCCAATTCAGAGAAAGGTGCTAACAAGCAAGTTCGTAAACCCTCCTCATAACTCACCAACTCTAACTTCAAATTCTCTTTGAGTACCCTCCAATGGAGAAATTCTTACTTATGAAGCCAGAATGATTTTTGTCAAATTAATGTCAAGTGAGATTTTGGCCAACAGTCAATGCACTGAATCTATGGATGCTGAACTCGATAACAGAAACCATACAAGTTCCACTATAAACTCCAACTCACAAGTCACAAGTTAACCAACTTTCCAGAATTTTCCCCCTATACTAAAGTAACATTGATGCCAAGTAAAACCCTAAAGAAGGGCAAATCAATTAGCAAAACTGTGAGTGCTCAAGAATTCATCAGGAACTGCTCCCAGAAGGAAGTTAAGACTTTCCATAAGTTGAAAGTAAATTCCAATTTGGACAGGGATCTCTCAATTGTATGATGACAAAAAGTAATGCTCATTGAAAAATTTGGATTTTGAAGCTTTTCATGATGGTTTTAGCGAAAGTATGAGGTGACCTTGAAAAATTTGGCCTGGCTTTCCATAAATTTCATCACCAGGTGGAATGACGCTATTCCGTGACGTCACGCAACCTTATGCTACAACTTCCACTCAGGTATGCTTCCACCCAGACCCTGGTGGCGCCAATCTCTCCTTTTCATGGATGAGTGACTTCAACTGCATTGATTTTGGGATGTTAAATCTAGGGAGACTTCCTGGGACAAATAACTACAGTGTACATACAGTATGAAAACAATTTTTGAAATAAATAGAGCAAGTTGTGAATATTCAAATAACGTGCCAAAAATCCTGCGAGAAAAATTTAAAGACCTTTTTTAAAATTTTGAATATTCAAGAAGATTTCTAAATTACACAAGGATTTTACACTGCCCAATCCTTGTAGTTGAAGTCGCTCAATGATGGCTCTGGGAGAGATCGGCGCTCCCAGGGGTGGCGTGGAAGAGGCAGCGCTGAGTGGAAGTTGTGCCATAATTTCGCGTTGCAGGGACGCATAGACGTGATTCAACTGCTTATAGGTAACAACTTGGGCGTACGGCTGGCTTTTCTGATCATCTTTCCGTGAATCGAATCGCGAACCTCAGTGAATGTGTTAATTATGTAGTGCGCATTATTTGGAATGCGCGAGTACTGTGGTTGTGTTGTACTGTGCTTCCTTTTCGACTCCCGCTTTCTTCTAGTATTGTTAATGTGGCTTGAGGAATGACACTTCTTGCCAATTTGATTTGACTGTGAATGTGCGTGATGCACCATCTTCCAGGTGTGATCCATTTCCTCAACGGAAGATTTCGCGTATAACGGACTGCTAGATGGCTATCGAGTGGAAATGTGTGATGGGATGGAAACAAGCGCGATTGCTTATATTGTGCAGTAATATGAAGCACGTTATTGTAGTGAGCTTATTATTTCTCAATTGGACAGGAGACGGCGATTTTTCTTCATCCTACCGATTTCTGCTCTTGTTTTGCCATGGGCTTAATGTAGGGACGAGTCAATCTGATTCGGATCTGTTCTATTGCGTCCCGCGGTGAATGGAGCCTGGATGTATGTGCTATATGACAGTAAGTGCGTCTTTGAGTGAGTGAGTGAGTGCAACCGTGTCGAGTTGTACCATGCCATGCCATTGAGCGTTGCCGGCTGCATTGCCTCAATCAACGGCGACCGCACCGATGGATTCTCACTCAGGAAGGCCCTCGAGAAGGACTTGTGCCAGAGGTCCATTCAGGTGAGCGTGATCTCTTGTCCGTCGGGTTTGGATTGGACTAACTTTCTCATGGTGTGCTTGTTTGTGTGTCCATCTGACGAATCGTCGTTCTACGCCTGCGAAAGGCATGTTTCACTCGCAGTGTGCTGTAGGAATTCCTACTGGTGGTGGTGGTATCGTGTACACTGTGCTGCACGGGCTGTATTCAGTGCGTCATGTTTGCCGAAAAGTGTTGCTATTTCAATGCTTGATGCACGTATCTCATCGTAACAGGTCGGGAGGGATGCACTCCGAAAGTGCGTTGCTCGTGAACGCGTGTTGTATGGTGTTTCGGATCCCATTCTCGCCTCGTGTACCCAAATCATGATCTGCACAAGATTTATGCTTCACAGGGAAGCGCTCAATGGAGTAGACTGTTCAGGAAAACCTTTTGCTCTGTTTTGACCGTGCGTTTCTGTGCCAAGATCCGGCTCCTCTCAACAACTTGAAATGATGATCGTTGTGTTCTTCCTGCCGTGTGTGTTTGCCCGTCCGTTCGTCAATGCAATACGGCACAGCTTTGATGCCTTCATGTTGATAAATTATTTCACAAGACTGATGCTGTTTGGAGGGTATTTCCCCGTGATTCACGTTCTGTTTAAAAGTGGTTGAGTTGCATTTGGAGCCAGAGATTGAATCGACCACGAACCTGTTCGCATCCAACAGAGTAGTGTACAGTCCCAGCAAATAATCTGGCATATTCTGTGCAGGCATGAAGAAACAGGCCTGTGACCACCTGTGGGCAACCCATATTGAATGGTTGGCTGAATACTAGTGATTTTTTTGAGTATGGGTGATCCTTTGTTAGCCCTCTATGAACCCAGGAGACATTCCAGCCCCATAGAACACCCATATAAATGACTGTGCTGATAGGGGTCTTTTTCAGCAATATTCAAGGGGGGCTTCAACCATAATAGTTACCCATATCCCAATACAGGTTTAACACTTGTGCAGGTGGTACCTTGCAATTCAGCCCTAACCCATTGCTGGACAAGGGTCAAATTGCAAGACTCTTTATAAAATTGAGAAATATAAGCCCAAAAACAGGAAAAAGTGGCCAAAGCAGGTCAAAGTCTGGGGCAGAGGTCAAATTGCAAGCCAACCTCCTCGCAAACTTGACCATCAAATTGCAGGATGGTCAAATTGTGAGGTGCCACCTCTACTGTGACATGGGAAACTGTGACAGGTGTCACCCATACTAAAAGGCCTCCATGTATTTATCTTGATACAGGTTCAATATGGGTGAATTATTTACTGGGGTAATGTTCAATACTGTTCTGTGTCCAAGCCTCCCATTGGTAATGTGCCCAAAAGGAAGAAAAGAGGCACAACATTGGGCTCCTGTCCTGTTCAAGCTCAGTCTTGTACCCAAATTCTTTCTCTTGGTTGGAGAAGTCAGTCTCTGATTCCCAGTAACTGACCATCCATCCCCTTGGACTTCTGTGAGGGTGGCCTGCTGTATTCCCTGCGCTGTGGACTTGATTCATTTTTGTCAGTCTCTCTCTCTCTCTCTCTCCTTTCATGTTGAAGTCAGTATACCACCCCCCCTCTTAGCTCCACTCACATTAATTTTAATATGTAGTGTAAGACAAAAAGGGGATTAGATATACCAATGAGCATCTTCAGTGCTAACCAACAAGTAATGTAGTGCTAATGTTATCTTGTCAAGTGGATACTTAGATGTCATGCTTTGTTCATGGATGGAATCCCTTGTTGTCATTGGATATTTTTCAGTACACTACAGGAATAATCCCACATGTAGACACCTTGGCATGTGGACAATTTGACATACAGACACTTATTTTCAGATAAAAAAGGTCTATAGAAGGCCCATCATAGGGACACTGACTCAATATGCAGATGTTGCATGGTTAAATTGCCTTCAAGTTTCAGGAAATCCAACTTGTATCAGTCCAAATTGCTATACATAGATGCATTCAACCCTAAGACCAATGTAAGAAAAATTCTTTGGCATTTTCCTTTTGGCAGACAAGATTTTTTCCCTTTCATTCTGGTGAATATTTCTTCCATGAAACACGATTTAAAAAATTATGTAATGTAAGTCTAAGGAAAACAAGACTCAGCATAGGGATGTTTCAACTTTGGGACACTCCTGATGCACCAATTACATGTGCATATTGTGGTCTCACTGTATTGTGTGGGGCTGTCTCATTGGGCCAAAGGCATGCATATTGGACAACATGTGGAGGAGAATAATAGAATTGGATAGGGTTGCCAACTATATTAGCGTCAGTGGGGTGATGGTGCATTAATGTAATGTATTGTCATGTTGATTTGCCCACAGCATGCATGTGACAAAATGTTCCCCCTTTTCCATGGAATTCTGGTGAATAATTCTCCCATAAAACACCAATTAAAAATTATGTACACTTTTGCAAGTCTAAGGAAAAACAATACTTGACATAGGGACGTTTCACTCCTGATGCGACAATTACATCTGCATATTTTGGTCTCACTGTATTGTGTGGGGCTGTCTCATTGGGCCCAAAGGCATGCATAAAATGACATCAGATGGTTGGACAACATGTGAAGGAGCATGATTGAATTGGACAGGGTTGCCAAGTGAAGTAGCCTGTTTGGTGATGGCGCATCTCTGTAATGTATTGCCATGTTGATTTGCCCACAGCATGCATGTGATGAACTCATAGTGCAGTGTTAATGACGTTTTGCAGTGCAGTGGAGTAAAGTACTGTACCGGTATATTCTGTGGAATTGTTGCTTGCAGGACCTGGAGATCATCTATGGAAACTTGCGCACTATTCAGGCCCTGTCGTCGTTGCGTGAGCCGTCTCTGAGATCCCTGTGCAAGGCAGTTCGATACGAGCGACACGAAGCCAACGACATTTTGTATTGGTGAGTTGACTGCCGTCAGTGGGCGAATGATGCAGTGTCAACTGTGTATTACTGCATTATTATTATTATTATTATTGACGTGTTGACTGGATTATTATTATTTTTTGTATGTGTCTGCTTGGTTGGTGGCTTGGTTGCTTGCTTGCATCAGTCGTGGGGAGCTGAGCACGTGCTGGTACATCCTGCTGTCGGGTTCCGTTTTCATTGACGGCTGCATGTACTTGCCACGAGCCAGGTGAGTGTCTTCCGTGTTTTTTTGTTGTTGTATATTTATTTATGGTCTTTCTTTCCTGTTCTTTTTCCTGTAAGACGGTCGGGTTTTTTCTTCTCTCTCTCTCTCTCTTCGTTTTAATGGAACAGTCCGTCTTTTGAGTTTATAGAGAGAGAAAGAAATGAAAGAATGATTGTGAATTAGCATTACAGGTGGTATACCTCGCAATTTGACCTCCTGCAACTCTACCTGCTTTGGAAAATTTTTTTGTTTTGTTTTTGTACTGATATTATTTAAATTGATAAAGTTTCTCGCAATTTGACTTTTTTGAAATTCAGCCCTAGTTTGGCAATGGATTAGGGTCAAATTGTGAGATTACCACCCCTATACTGGATGTATGTGCTTGTTTGTATGTACACTGAGACCCAAAAAAAAAAAGACTTGAAAACTTGACTTGGGAATGCTTGGCATGTTGAGAAATGAGACCTGACAGCTGGACAAAATTTCAATGTACAAACAAACATTTCTACAACATTTCTGGGAAAATTGAAAATTCTGAGTTGTCAAAATTTCTATGTACAGTATCTTGAAGAAATTGAGGTAGATTAAAATTCTGTTACAAAAACTCTTGTTTTAAAGGAATTTAATTTTGGATCAATTTTTTTCTTTTTACTGGCAGTTTTTTATAGGCATGATGTTGTAGAAATCTTATTTCAAGAAATTGATATTAGGTTGTAATCTCATCATAAGAACTTTTTGGCCATTACTTTTGTTCAAATACTGTAGGAATTATTTGATAAATGACAGAAAACTAAGGGGAAAATTGGAGATTGTAGAAAACCCAGCTTCATCAAAAAGGAAAACTTTGTGCAGAGAAAAGGTTATGATCAAAAAATTTGCGATATGACATTTATTTGGCATTCATCAATTTCATTTTAGTATGAATGCCCTTCTTTCTAATGAGCAGTACATTCAAAAATGTTCCCTGTTTTGAAAGTGTAGAGAGCTATGATTGAACAATTTGATTCAGAAGAAAGTACAGTATTTTAACCGCATGCAATTTTGTTTCTTGTTATCTTTAAAGATGAGCAATACATCAGTTCAAAGGCAGTTTTAATGAAAGGAAAGTACTGTCAATTTTAAAAATTTTCTCTGAATTTCATCAGAAATGCTTATCAATCATTTTAGACTTTGAATTATCTCTTTTTGAAAGCACATTGCCGTATTTATTGCCAATTTTCCACGAATTACCAGGCTAAACTTTGTAGAAAAACCATGAATCTCAATACAACAAATTTTTCTTCAAAGCAAATTTGTGTCAGTTCCTTAAGAGTCTATTATAATGAGATTTTACTCTATTTATATCCACAGAAGTCAAAAATGAGTTTCATCAAAAACCCCATCAAAGTTATAATAAAAGGGGTAAATTTGTGAATTTTCTTGTATTGTGCATCATCTGTGAACAAAATAGCAAGACTAGCAGATTTCCTTTGCTGTTTGGTATCCTTCTGATGCCCGAAGAGATAAGATTCTGTTTGGTTTTTTTCTACACAGTTATATACTGTATCTTTTAGTTGAAAAACACATTTTATTTGATTATTTATGGGATTTATTTGTAATTTTTTATGAACTGGAGAACCAATGGGCTGAGTTACAATTTAAGCCTATTCAAAAACAAGATCCAACATGAGGGTATTTTGACATAGGGACAAGGTTACATGAGATTCTGTGTGGTTTTCTTCTGCACAGTTACATTCTGTATCTTTTAGTTAAAAAAACATGTTTTTACATTTTATGGGATTTATTTCCAAATTTTGATGAACTGGAGAACCAATTAAATAAGTTATGGTGGGACCCCCACGTGCAGACACCTCAACATGTGGACAAATTGACATAGGGATACATATTTTTCCAAAGAAAAGTAGTAGAGAAGGCCCAAAATGAGGACATAAACTCAACACAGGGACATTTTGTGATAAAATTGCTACTACAATTCAGGCCAAATTAGAGGAAACAGATATTTCTAGCCCTAAAATTGATGTAAGAAAAGTTCTTGGGCATTTCTCTCATCAATTTATAATCCATTTAGCTAATTAAAAATTATCTCGTGCGTAGAGGGGACTTCCTTTCTCACTTTTTCACTGGAATGCCATTTTTATAGAGAATGCCATAATTTCTATGCACTGTACATAGGTATCAGTATTCAATTCCCCAAATGTCCATATTGCGTTGAAATATATTGATGGAATCAGTTTCAATTGGGAGACAATTTTTATTTTCATGGAATTATGGTGAGTATTTAGTCCATAAAACACCAATTAAAAATTGTATAATGCAAGTCTAAGGGAAAATGAGACTCAACTTAGGGACACTCTTGATGTACTGTACCAATTATGTCTGCTTCTTCGGGTCTCACTGCATATGCAATGCATTGCAAGAAATCCTCTTTTCATTTTAGTTGTATCTTTCTGTTTTCAGTTTTGGAAAGCGATCGGGGAGCAGTGGGAGGAGACCGAACGAGTGCTTGATTCTGGAGTCGTCGGAAATGCTTGTGGTGAGTCTCGTCGGTTCGGCTGTGGGCACATTTTTGTCATGCCTTGAAATGTCCCCTCATTTCGCCAAAAGTTTGGGTCATTCATGCCGCCCATTTTTTTTTTCGTTTTTGCGATGACGCGGAGTTTTTTCCGTTGGGCGTTGGCAACACTCGTGAAATGCTGGTACTGTTACTTGCTGCCTCTTCTGCTTGTACCGTGTCATTTTGGGTCTTTCTTGCTTTCATTCTGAGTTGTTCGGTGCATTCCTTGGCTGGTGATATTTATGCTGCTTGGTCTCTTTGCCCTGTCTTCGATACTAAACTATGTGTGAGTGTGTGTGTGTGTCTGTGGTTGGTGTAGAAAGTGGCCAACGGACCAACCAGCCGTGTGTTGTTATTGCGCAACATCCGTGTGAACCTGGTCGACGTGTTTCTCTCTCTCCTTTTTGTTTTCCTCGCATTCTCTTGCCTTGTTATTCTCTTTGCGCATGCTTGTGTCTGTCTGTCTGTCTGCACTCCTTCCTCCCCTTTTTGCTTTGATTCGATGAAAGACGGATGGGTGTAAAAAAAAAAAGAGGAGAAGGAGGTGGAGCAAAGAAAGAGAGAGTTTTGATCGAAGTCCACGCCTTTGGGCTGTTTTGTTAGTTTGTTGGAATTGCTGGTGAATGGATGGAATTTAATATAAGCGGTACTGTTTTTTTTTTGATACGATGACTTGAGAGAAGAGAGTGTGTGTGTGTGTGTGTTCCGGAACTTTGAGTGGAGTGGAGCCTGGAGCAGGCAAATTTTTCTGCTGTTCCAAGCCTGAGTTTGAAATTTTGGAAAGTTGGGGAAAACCCCCCTCTGGCCCTGCTATGTGTGACTTATGTTGGCTGGTGTCAACCAACACAAGTCCCTACCCTAGAATAAGTCCTTCAGTATCTTAACTGGAAACATGCATCCCCTATTGCTGTACTATTGTGCAATTGGACACTTCATACTCCATGCAACAAAATTCAGGGTCTCCAAACGAAAGAGGACAACTTTAATGTAGGCAGAGGCCCATTTTATTAGCATTTTTTATGCGTATGTAGAAAAAAAAGTCATTCTATGGTTGAACCTACTAGTTAAATTTCAAAGGGCCAGTAAAAAATTCAAGATAGTGAAATTTTTGAGTTGGGAAAACAAGAAATATTTTCCAGGAATGGAAAGAAGAATTTCAGGTGAATTTAATAGGTTGATATTCTGGTCCTTGAATTGCTTCTCAAATGCGTGGACAGGATGCCAAACTTGGAGACAATGGTTTATTTGCTCAATTATTATTTCTTTTCCTTTCAAAATGCATCAAGTTACATCTTTGTTGTTCTACTTTTTTTCCTGTGTTAATGAAATTATGGCCAAGAGGCCTTCAGAAAATTCAAATAATGGAGGCTCAAAGAGAGAAGCTTTTGAGTTGGGTAGGTTATTCTTGAGCATGATTTCAGAAGGACTTCAAACAGTGACTTGAAGAAAAAAACAGCACAATAAGCTGTTTCACCGAGGGACGGTTGAGTTCTCAAGGTTCAAAGGTACTAAACACAGAAAATCATAGTAAAGTTGACTTTTAAAGAAATTCTACCAGTATTTTGTCCAGAGAGGAGGGCTTATATTTTTGTACTTGGTAAAAAATTAGTACAAACTACTGTGAGACACCCAGATGCAGACATAATTGGTGCACCAAGAGTGTCCCTGAGTTGAATTGACCCTCAGTCAAGTTTTGTTCTCCCATAGACTTACATTATAACATTTTTAATTGGTGTTTTACAGATAAAATATTCTTCAGAATTCCATATTTGAATGAAAAAAATTCATTTGCCACTTGAATTTGATTCAGTGAATATCTTTTCAACCCAATCAGAACATTTGGAGCATTGAATAGTATACCACTGTACACTTTGTTGAAATGTTGGCATCTGTAAAAATGACATCCTATTCACAAAAAGAGAAGTAAGCCTCTCCGTGCTACAGGTAATTTTTTAGAATTAGCTGATAGGATGGGAAGTGACAGGGAAAGTACCAAATAATGTTTCTTACTTAGATCTTATGGTTGGAAATATCTCTTTCTTGCTATTAAACCTAGTGAAAGTCAATTTTTCTGAAATGTATTGGCGATTTAGTAAGATTTCTCCTTAGTCACACTAGATGAAGCTAGACTAGGAATGAGTAGACACCAATAGCGGAATACTGATAGTCTATTCACAAGAGTACACTTTCGCACACATAAATCAGAGATCCACACACGTCTCATCAGCCTCAAGCTAAAGCTGGAATCATTTGACTACACCCTGGTACATTGACCTGGGAAAACCCTCACAGGGCCAGACGCTCTCAGCCGCATTCGACTGAATACCATCCAGTTGAAAGAGATACCAGACGAATCCGAACGTCAGAAAATGATCGACAAATATCATATTGAAATGGGACATCCCAGCTGGAAGCGAACGTTCCACCAATTACGCCAGCGCTACACCTGGCCCGAGATGCGAATGCAAATCTTTGAAAGGGTTGCCAAATACGAAAAATGCTTCACCTTCAACCCGGCGACAGCCACAGTTGGAACACACCTGGAAGCCGTCCCGACAACCGACAAACACTATTGCCTGGGAATAGACTTCTGGGGGCCATTCCCACCATCACAAACGGGCAACCAATATGCCCTGGTGGCAGTCAACTATTACACCAAACGCGCCATCGCGCAACCGGTAAAGTGGGCGACAGCCAACGCACTCTGCAGCTTTATAGCAGATGTTTTCGCGCAGCTCGGGTCCTTTGAAATCATTCATTCTGAAGGAGCAGCGGTCTTCTCATCCGCGGCATTTAAACGCTTCACCAAGGCAAACCAAATGGAAGTGCACATCGCACAACCATACCACCCAGAGGGCAATGGCGCTTGCGAGCGGACAATCAAGTCCCTAACAGCCATCCTCGCCAAAACGGCGCCAAGCGCTACCACATGGGACCAAGTCCTGTACAAAGCCACCATGGCATACAACCGTACGCCTCACTCCACCACGGGGTTGTCTCCACTCGAGCTATGGCACAAAAAACCAATGCTGACGCAGGCCAACATCAAGTTCAAAGCCCCGCCCAGGGATATTTCGGCTCAACTGGAGGTGGTACAACAAACCGCCCAACGCCGTCGAGATCAATATACGCAACAGGCCAACAAACAAAAACTGCCGCCGTTTCACGCGGGGCAAATGGTGACGCTGCGCCCATGGCTCAAAACCACCAAAAAGCATGCGGCGCACCGCCGTTTTCTGCCAAAACGCTACAGACCCTTCAAGATTATACGCTATCAAGGAAAGGGCACTTACGTCATTTCAACAAAAAATGGGCCACAACTCGCGAATGCCTGGGAGCTACAGAAATACTTTTTCCCGACTGCCCCCCCCCCCCCGAGACATGCCCAGATAAGTTAAGACCGGCACCTAACCTCGACCTCTCTTCTCCACAGAACGACAAAGATCGCCCTCACTTCTGCCTTGCGAACGAGACCAACAACAAGACCGATCACCAGCACGACTGGCACGGGCCAACCTACCCCGCCGATCACCTGAGCGACAACGTGAACGCGACCGACCAGAGCGACAGCCACAACCGCGCCGCCCAAGGCGCGCCAGCTCCCCGCGGGAGCTCTTCATCACACGAACATGGGAGCAACCACGACGCCCACCGCCGGACAGACCATCTTCCACGCAGCCCCACCAGGATGCTGCCGTCCCCCGTGTCCAGCGAGGAACTTCTGCTACCCGAGAGCGTTGCCGAACCCCCGTCGCCACAACCGCAACCCGACGTCACAGCAGCAAGAAGCGCCGCTGGTTCCAGCTCTCCCCATCTCCATCCTCGACATCATCATTGGCTGCAGAAGAGGAAACGGACGTCAAGCTGCCAAGCGCCACGCTCGTGCAACCACTCAGTGGACATGGGCCCCTCACCGACGAGGACTAATGAGGACTTCTCAACCTTCGGCCTCACAAATGCAGATCGTTGGCATCGCCCCAAACAACGGCGCCGGCACCCAGCGCGCTACCGCAATCAGTGGCCTCCGCCCCCAGATTTTTTTCGCCACCGCTGGCACCTTTCTTTTTCAGGGGGGGGAGAGTAACAGCCAGTGGCCATTAGTCCCGCGCGACAGGAATACCGCGTATTTGATACAAGCTTTGTTCTGACCTCATACCCAATCAGGGTACGCCGGCGCAACGGCCCGCGCGCCAGCGACCGGCCATCTTGTATAGTGAGAGGCACGCCAGGCCTCATTCTACCGTGAACCTCTGACGTGTGTCGGACAGTTTGCCAAGTAGGGCCTTGTGGTCCGTGATGATTTTGAAGTGCCAATGTTCGACATAGTGGCGGAATTTTTTGGTCATCGCCCAGACCGCTGTGAGCAGCTCTCGCTGCGTGTTGGAGTAACGTGTTTCAGCGGGGGTGAGGACCCAGCTCGCATACTCCATGATGTGGGGTTGTCCTTCTGGATCGATTTGGACAAGGATGGCCCCAATTGCTGACGCGGACACATCACAGTGAATCTCGGTATCCCATGCCGGGTCAAAACGTTCAAGCCGAGCGGCGTTAGCTATCAAATTCTTCAGTGCTTCAAATGCGTCGATTGCTTCTGGTGACCATACAATGGCGGTAGCTGGTTTCACCGGAATTGTTAGTCGTAGGACTTTCTTGAGCTGTGCAAAATTAGTGGGCACATGCGCTCGTAGGTAGGTGGCGAGGCCTAGGAATCGCTGCATTTGGCGTGTTGTTGCAGGTTGTGGGAAGGCTTGGACGGCTTTGAGGTGCTCTTCCGAGGGGTGTGTGCCCGTTCTGTCGACAATGTGGCCGAGAAAGGTGATGGATTCCGCCAAGAATTTTGATTTGAGGATGTCGATTGACGCTCCTGCGGCCGCAAGCGTATCAAGGATCTGTTGGAGGTTTTCGAGTACCGTTTCAAAGGTATTGCTGAAGACGATGATGTCGTCGATATAGACTAGACACTTTGTGTATAGGTGAGGATGCAGGATGGTCTCCATGGTCCTTTGAAAAATGGCGGGCCCCGTTTTGAGGCCATACGGTAGGACCATGTACTGCATTTGCCCCGTATAGGTTGAGAATGCGGTCTTGTGGCGATTGCCATGCGCAATGGGGATGTGATGGTATCCCGAGTGCAGGTCGAGGCAGCAGAAATAGGCGTTTTGGCGCCCTAGTGCGTCAAGGATGTCTTGAATGACTGGCATTGGATAGTTGTCTGCCAGCAAAACTTTGTTAATTTCCCGATAGTCCTCCACCAGGCGCCATCGCTTGATTGCAGGGGCGTTAGGATCATCATCTTTTGGCGTCAGGAAGGCCGGGGAGTTAACGGTGGACTGGGCTGGTTCTATGATACCCGCGCGGGTGTAATTGTCGATGATATGTTGGAACGCCGGCCGCTTGTTGGGCAAGAGCCGTATGCAGCGACTGGGTTTGGGATCCTCTCCGTTGGTGAGTAGCGATGCGACGTGCTGTGGGAAGAGCCCGTGTTTACCGCTCCACTGGAAGATGTGAGGGGCGTAGCGCCGTAGGAGAGCCGTGATCTGTTGCTGCTCTGTGGGCGTGCCGTGGACAAACTTGATGCCCTCGCCTATTGGCACTTTTGGGGCTTCTTTAATTGGTTTAATTTGCTGGAAACCGGAAAAGACTCGCTGGCCGTCGAGGGTGACGCAGAAAGGGAGATTCTTAAGCGTGTCGAGTCCGAGAATAACAGGATAGTGCGCGTTGGAGAGTAGCAAGAAGGTGGCTTCATACGCGGCCGATCCAAGAGTAAAAACAGTACTCACTGCGTGACTGACGGTCGTGGAGACGTGAAGTACCGCCACGGATATCCTCGCTTTGGTCGGGTGTGGAGACAGGCCAACTTCCTCGGCGACGTCCATCGCCATGAACAATTTTGTCGCTCCGGTGTCGATCAGGGGGGTCACCCGTTTGTCTTTGATGGTGATGATGATGGTCAGGCTGTCGTCGGTAGGCGTGGGGATTGAGCAGAGGACAGCCGTCACTCCCCGATCTTCCCGTTTCCCGGACATGTTGCTGCGGTATGTCCTGTATTCCCACATTGGACGCATTTAGTAGATTGAATCAACTGTGCGGGGGATGGTGTATTCACCTGGTTGGCCGGGTTGTTCCGGCATTCCTCGGTTGAATGTGCAACCATACGCCCCAGGTGATAAGAGCAGCTTTGTAGCGGGTGCCCCTTAGCCGTTGTTGACGGCGTGGATGCCAGTGAGCTCGCTCGCGACATTGTGCACTCGGCCGTGCTATGAAAAACGTACCGCTGATGATTCTTGCAGTAGTATTTGGTGACGCCAGATGCCGTCGTTTTGGGCGGGCGGCTGGCGGGTGACTGCGGCGCCGGTGTCGCGGCCCGCTTTGGTGTTGCCGGGAGTGTACGCCTGTATTTGTTGGCGATTACCAGGCACTCATCCCATGTGAGGGAACGATCGGCTGTCGCCCGTGCATGGAGTTGGGCATGGAGCCCGCCGGTGGTGATGGACAGGAGTTGTCCGATGAGGGCCCGCATGATCGCGGTTTCATGTTGCCCGACCTCGTTGGCTGGTAGGGGGATGTATCTGAGGTATTTGTCGCGTAAGCGTGGACTGAACTGCGAGAAGAGTTCGTCAGGTGCTGGGCGGAACTGCTGAAACCTGGTAAAATGTTCAAATGGTGATAGACCAAACCTGGCTTTTAGCTTTTCCGCGATCACGTCGTAGTCCTCAAATCCTTGGTCGTAGAGCAGTTGTGTTGCCTCTGCTACCTTCGGTTGGGAGTGCCCGATGAGGCAGTCAACTTTGGTGAAGTTCGGTGTGCCATCATGTTTGAAGGCGGTCTCCAGACGTCTCAGGTACATTTCGATACTTTTGTTTGGTGATTGATGCGGGTAGTCGACGTGTCTGCGCAGGAGCAATTGCGCTAACAGCTCTGTGGACCCCGGTCCCGTCTGATAGTCTGGTGGTGAGCTTAGGATGATGTTGAGAGGTGTTGCGCCTCTGGCCTGAAGTGCGATGATGAGTTTGTCGCGTGGTACTTCGTTGGAGTTCGGGATGCCGTTTGCTATCGTGTACGTACGTATGGCATTCAGCATCAGGAAATTCCATGGATTGGCTGTCGCCCTTGGTTGCAATGATGCTACCGGTTGTGGCAACGCGTTCGCATTGGATGGCCCTGGTTGGGGTTCACTTTCTGTGCGGTCGGTGATCATTGCGGGTCGTCGTCAATTGGCTGAGCCCCCAGTAAGATTTCTCCTTAGTCACACTAGATGAAGCTAGACTAGGAATGAGTAGACACCAATAACGGAATACTGATAGTCTATTCACAAGAGTACACTTTTGCACACATAAATCAGAGATCCGCACTCGTCAGAGGTTCAAGGTAGAATGAGGCCTGGCGTGCCTCTCACTATACAAGATGGCTGGTCGCTGGCGCGCGGGCCGTTGCGCAGGCGTACCCTGATTGGGTATGAGGTCAGAACGAAGCTCGTATTGAATACGCGGTATTCCTGTTGCGCGGGACTAATGGCCGCTGGCCGTTACTATTTCATCATG